TCTGCCTAAACCTTACACTCTTTATATAAACACCTTAGATAGCTACCTTTTACAATGCAATCAATTCTCCATGACCTTCAATGCCCAATACCCTTTCAACCCAATAGTTGCCTATGAAGTAAAGTCGGAGATCTGATTGAGAATGAGTATTATGAGGTTTCTGCGTGGCTGCCTATTCTTGCCTTCCTGCAGAATCTCATTCCGTTGCAGTGATGAAGTTCTTGGATAGATCTCACAGGGAAAGCTACCATGATGTCGATGTGTCCAGTATGAGCTTCATCGGTTATCTAATTACTTCCTTTAACAGAAGATACTTGCTATATATATATACAGTAAGAGGACATTGTTGGTTCCAAGCAAATATCTCATACTCTAGATACCTGTACGTACATGAGTCTTTGACTCTTCCTTCCCACGCCCCCATTTTTATAGTTTGTGCAATATTTCATCAATCATGGGTTTGCAATACCTTTCAAGCTCCAAATAACGCTCTGGTCAAAACAGCATCCAGACATAACTGGGACCAAGAAGAAACTAAAAAGCTCTGAAATAGATATACTGTTCCCCGTCAATTTCACAAACGATCTTTCAACATAAAGTATTCGAAAATAAAAATGGACATTGGAGATCACAGGACTCCAGATAGAAAGGTGTTATGAGACTGTGAATGCTTTCATTGCAAAGACTTTGGTTTTCATCTCCCCGTTCTACGTCGCAACTTCCCATCCACGAATGAGATGTTTCGATGCCTCATCCTGGGCCACATCCCAGTTACAACGCTCAACCCCCAGCATAATACACTTCGCAATAATCATCATGTCCCCATCCCAGAATCGATTGCAGAGTTGCCGTGAAAGTGGTCGTGGCGCTCATTCCTCATCATCCTTAACAATCCATACATTGAAAATGGGCTCTACAACATCGTGAGGTCATTCAGTAACACAGTGGAGGCTCCTAAATCGACGATCCTGTTATCAATCTATCCTTTTCCAATATCTGGAGAGTGCTTACCATCCCGGCCATTTCTTCATGAGATCTGAGAACATGGGGGCCCTAAGTCTGGCGTGCTTGATAATAGCTGCGATATCACCTCCAGAATCGATCTTGTCGATAACGTCTCCGGTAACATGCAAACCAGGCATGTTGATAACATTCAGCCTCGTTGCCATTGCTTCATCTTTGTGGTAGAAGTCGCAAGCTAGATAGAGGGCGTAAGGCATCTTGAAGGTAGTTTGTGGTGTTATGGAGAGTTTGTGGTTGTGTCATTTCTTGAATTGGGTGTTGAGAGTTAAGAGTGTCAGTTTGATTTTTGGCGCCTTGATGCCTCTTTAAGTATGTGAAGGAGAACAAGTGTGCCACTAGTTAAGACCAACCAGAAATATCCCCAACGTTCGGCACATGGAACTATGTTCTATGGAATTATTCTATTCTTTTCCACCTAGAATCCTTCTAGAGCTTGTATAGAATGGAAAGATTCCTTCTATTAGTAGGCTCTGGAAATTCCATGGAATCCATAGAATTCCAGACTAGTTAAAACATATGATTATAGGAGCTATATAGCGCTAGGAGTTAAGTAAATAGCTAGAAAGATATAATAGTACCCCTTTATAATCATTTCTAGAAGTATGCACGATACTCGTACCCTATACCGACATTTAGGGGGACATTCACATGATATAAAATGTTATCTGATTGTTTAAAATATATAGGGCCCTGGAGACTTCCTGTTAGTCGATGGAGCGGGAGTATATTTTCCGGTCATATAACAAATTCCAGCTGGAAATTCTATATTCCATGGAATTCTTCTACTAAATCCTCCCAGAGGAGGCCTCTGGAATCGAATGGAATTCCAGTTGCCGAATGTTGAATATCCCTTCCAGACAATACAGTTACTACCTTCACCTGTGCTTGAAAGTGAAGCTCCTCTGGGAATGGTGACAGACAATGTCCGCGCCCGACTTCCCAGAGGGAGTAAATGGGCCCATATTTACTACATGTTCGCCGCAAAATAAAGTCATTTGGCCAACCAGACCGCGTTTCCAAGTATTTTAACGTTAATTTGACTCAATAAGATTACAATTGTATCCACTTATATCCACTTCCAAGCACAGGTATTTGTTGTAACTATCCAGATTCTCTGGAAGCGATAAATTCACAATGGCCATTTCTGTGAAATCTGCTGCTTTTGAGGCCATCTTTTAGTAAAAGGCATTCAGGCACTTCCCTTCTGAAATTCCAGAAGTCCATTTAGTTTAGAAACTTGGATATTTTCCACCTTGCGTTGTGATATACATAGTTCAGCCTATTGAGCGAGGGGTCATTTCTACACGTAAAGATTACTGTCTTATTCAGCGAGTTGAGTATCAAAGTGTGGAAACTCAAAAGTCAAGTCACAAAGGTCTTGAGGCAAACTTCTAATTCTCATTCTCTGACTCTAGATCGCGCCGTACGAATATCTACCCTTGAGCTCAGAAATCTTCCAGTCCTCATTGCTTCACTCTCACTCCCAGTCAAAACCTAGCTACCAGTCGACATCAGACTCCTCTGCTCTCAGTACCTCCCTCTTTCGGCGTCTTCATGCCTCGGAATATGCTCATAATGTGGCGGTTGGTGATATTGTGATGGGCGATTTCGCAGATCTTCTCGTGGATATTGCGGTGGATGTTGGGGCGATTGTGGGGTTGGTTGTTGGGCTTGTTGTTGTTGTATAAGTTGATACAATAGCTGTGCTAGCTGCTCCGTTGGCTGCTGTACTGGCTGCTGTACTGGTGCTTTGACTTCTGGTTCCTCACCCTTGATAATCCAGACATTCAAGTAAGGCTTCCTTTCAGTCACGCAGTAGAGGCTCCTAAAACGTGTTATCCTTAGCTATCGCTGCTGTGCTGATATCTAGGGCTACTTACCATCCCTTCTTACGTTCCATGAGCTCCGTCAGCATTCTGACATAGCGAGTGTTGTCAAGAGGGAAGGTGGTAGGTTGAGGCAGAGCAGCTTTGTGGAGAGGAAGGCCAGGCTCGTTGGTGATTTTGAGTGGCGAGTTTGGGCCTGTTGCGCAGCATTCCAGATAAAGCGCGTAAAACATCTTTGAGGTGGTATGTCTTTCTTGTGGAGTGTGTGGGTTGGTTGTGTTGTATTGGGATGTCGTCAGGGGTGGATGTGAAAGGTGGTGGTGCTGTTTTTGGGCCAGAACTCCTCCATGGCAACGTGACCATGAGTGAATCATTATGATTTCAACCGACCTAGGTAAGGTTGTCATATCAATTACTGTGCAATCAAATAGCATATCATGTTTGCCAATGGTGAGGAAGAGCGTACATTTATTCACGTTAACACTGGTTGGTGTGGTGTCGACACAATAGCAAATAACATAACTTGAATCATATCAACAAAAAAGGATAATTATTACAGCTTGTACAAGTAATACTTGCTCCTTCTTGCTAAAGAATTATGAGATATTGAGACTTGAAGGTAGCAATGCTTCCTTATATTGTGAGGTGGATTTGATAACCGATTCATACAAAATAGATGTCCACATACAGACTCTAGAAACTGACAAGGATAAAAATCAATACTGATTACAGACAATGTCAAAGGAAACCCTGTTTCACTTAGATTATTTGCATTAGGACCTAGAAATACCTCAGTTTGCGGGAAACTGGGAAGAAACCTGGCTGTGGTATAGAAACAGCCCAGTACCTGGTCTTCGTATGCTCAGGTTATTCGTAATTAGTTTTTAATCTTGCCCAATTATTCCACTCCAAGATCTGGTAATCGAATGTTTAAAAGTCTTCTTATAGCTCATTCAGTATATGCAAGTTTACATAAAGGAGGAGTAGTATACATATTAGCTGTCAACAGGATCAGTATCATCAACGTGATATCTCTACATCTACCAATATCCATTTTTGAAAAGCAATTTGAAAATGAGCTCACTAGTCCTAAAGTGGCTAGATCAGGCGCTAGTTGATCGCGTGGAGATATGTACATAAGGCTGGCACTTTAGGACTTTTCCACCCAAGAGTGGCCTTCCTCTGCGTATGGACCATTGCATGCCGCATGCCACAACATCCAATACTATCCTGCAAATCGTCTTCCTTCCCATCCCCCAGATGAACCAATCTTTCGCAAGGGCCCACCCGACGACCGCTGCGCACAAGGCACAATGGAACCAACTCTTCTTGGCATCTATTTAGATGCTCGACGAATGATCCTCGAACTTCTCCTGGTCAGCGAATATCCTATCCAGCCGAATCATGCCAATAGATCGGAAAACAATACCACAACTCCAAATTTCACCAACATCTCAAGAACATGTACCCAACTTCGAAACGAAGCCAACGTTATATTCTTCCAGAAGAACGAACTCTTCTTTGATACATCCACCAGAAATGAATTTCTTTTTGTCCCCCCTGAACTGACCTGTTACTTCTGTATGTAAATTCCATTCACGCATCTGACATAAAATCAAGTTGCGCCTGCTAATCTTTCAATCAAGCACCGCAATTCCTTTCCAACTTCAAAGCAAGCCCGACAAAACTGCTCATGGAGAAAATTACTGTTTCCTGGCTAGATGAATCAGACTGGTTCGGCCATGAAAATAGCTTTGGTAGATTGGAAGTTGCTAGCAATGTAATCGAAGCACTGAAAAGCACCAATAAAGTGCGCAAGCTTGAGTTTCTCATTCGCGTGCCACCGCACCTTCACCTTTGCGACGGGCACTACAAAATCTTTCTCGAACAGGAAAATTTGCCTCTAGTCCTGCGTGAGTCTAAGAGTACTGATGATTCAACCACAGCTTCAGACTCTGAGTGGCTTGGTCATCCATTAATGCATCGTCGGAAATACCAGAATCTTCACTATGCCAAAACCCAAAAACACAACACGGACAAGGGGGATTGGGATCGTATCTTCGCTGCTCTGGAAACCATCAGAGATCTCGACGTGGGAGCGACGGCAAAATTTGAGGAGGTGAGCGATATGATGAGCAAAGAATACTGCTATACTATCCACAAAGATATCGATTTTATATTGCCCAGGTTCGGTTCTCAAGTCTGAATGCGATTGGTTCGCGATTCAGTGCATTCGAGAGTCTATCATGAGACTGGATCGTGGAGATAACGTGAAGCAGCAGAAAGAGCTCTTGAAGTCTATAGGGCATGCTGCTGGTCCGGTCGAGTTAAAGTACTAGTTGACTATATGAGGTATGGCTGGACTTGGACTGGCATCGAAAAGGCTAGTAGTGTTTTAAAACTCGTTTCGATAAATCCAGGAACTTTTCTTCGTCTTCATGCCCATTGTTGTGTTATGTTAGCTTCAAAGAATCAAAGACCTTTTTCGCCTCGAATCCTAAACAAGAGGGTAAGCTCCAAATCTATTTGTAAGAGACGTGGTCGTTGCTCTGTATATACCTCTGTTAGAATAAAATTGTTCTAAAAGCGCCGTACAATTTTAACAGTCATATAAAGAGCTTAGATAATTGTTATTACTTACTTGTAAGTCGCCTAGGTATACTAATATAATTATCCTACTTGTACTAGAAGTTTAGTAGAATAACACTTTTTATACTATATATAGAGTAACGACTAGTTCTCTAGCAGGATTTATAGTAAATGAGGACAGGGCTGCTTAGTAAGCTATGGTGGGAGATATATTCTACCCTACTATTAGAATATTATATTCCTTTATTAGCACTATAATATCCCACATATTGTTAGCTATACTATTGTGGGCTCTCTTTTCGATGCTCTTTTGTTAATTCCTACTCTATACTTTATATTATACTAGATAAATTAGTTTATAATATAGTCGAAGACCGAGCACTTAGCGTGTACCTTCTTTATGAGAACTTCGTATTCATTCTTTTATAGGCTATGTACTTATTCATAAGCTATATACTTATTTTTTATATAGTTTTACTACTCCTAAATAGAATGCGAGGCCGAGGGTGCTTATACTTCGCTTTCCACTTCTCTATATATAAGCGAATTATAAGCACTTGAAGCTAGCCAGCAAATACAAAAGAAAAACCAAGAATAAGCCTCATTTATGTGTAACGTGTAATGGTTCACGAATGAACAATAAATTAATATTTCATTACACCTCTATTTTGAGGGCAAAAGGTTGTAGTGTGATAATAAGGAAAATAGAGCCGGAAACCTTGCGGGTATTCATGCACACAAACAACCGTAGTAACAACCTGCCACCCCCTCATCGTCCAATCACCCCCAGGCCAAAAGAACTTGAAAACCTCATTAAACTGATACAAATCCTCCTGTTTAGCAATATAGTACTTATCATCCGTCTTCTCCTTCACCAAACCCAATTTCGTCGTGAGATGAACACGCGATTTAGCAAACGGAACGAAGAGGAGGGAGAAGACCTATCCATCCATCTGTTAACACCTTTCCTCCCCCCCACACACTCTCTCTATATTGAGGATAACATACCTGCGAAATCTCCACAAACAGCACCCCCATCTCCTGATTAAACTCCGCCCCCTCAACCACCAACTCAATTCTTGGACATAAGATCCGATACCAGCGGTAGATCATCCAAATGACCCATCGACTGTTCACCTCGCCCACCAGCGGGACCTGGACGTGCGCGAAGGGGGGAACCCGACAGAGGGGGTGGTAGAAGGAGGCTGAGGGGAGGAAGTAGGTGTCCAGCGCGGATTTTTGCTCGGCGGGGGTACCGCTGGTTAGGGCGTGGATGATGGAGGGGATTTGGCGCTCTGTGGGGGGTGGTTAGTTGGGTTGAGAGAGGAGGGATTGAATTGGATGGGAGGATTAGAGGAAGTACACAAGGGGGGGAAATGTGATTCCTGTGCAACCCCGCGAAAGAAAGTAATACCAGCCCCCCTCTCCCACTTGATAATCTCAAACATAAACCCCAATCCCAAACAAACAAACGAAATCAAAAGAGAGAGGCGTTCAAGTCACTAGGATGCTCCATATTTCCTTTCTTTCCCTCTCTTCTCAAATACTCAAATAACACCCGGTACCCAGTTCAAGTGCGCAACAAATCTCAATCCACAAGTATAACAATCACCCTTCTCAATCAGACGATATCAATTACCACAACCGTATTAATTATAGCCGTCGTCGTCGTCGTCACAACAAAGATGTCAGAAGCAATGATGTACAAATACAAGTAGCGATACTATTGCATCAAGCTCTCCTTCCCTACCTATACGGGTACCCGAATAAACTTCCCGATGACATCACCCAAACCCAGCCCCAGCCCAGCCCAGCCCAGCCCAGATCACGACTACAGTAGCTGACATGTGAAAACTTAAAGTCAACCCCCCTTCACCCAACACATCACATCCTAAAGCTTCCCGAAACCTTGTGCTTGGAAAGAAAAGAAAACAAAACAAAACAAAACACAACTGACCTATCAGGTACCTAGGTACCTAGAAAAACTTCGTATGAGTATGAGTATGTAGTTTAGGTACAGGTAGACAGGCCAAACACCACAAATCCACTCACCAGTCCACTCTAATCTAATGCAATCACAAAATTCCATACCCTTCCTGTACTACAAAGTCATGTTAATTGGTACCTAAGACCAAGACCAAAAAAGAAAACATATACACAGATATAGATATACTTGCTCCAAAAAAAAAATAAGAAAGCTAGGGAATTTCCAATCTACCAATCTACCAATCTACCAATCTACCAATCTACCAAATCTACCAAATCTACCAAATCTACCAATCTACCAAATCTACCAAATCTACCAAATCTACCAAGTCTATCTACTCAAGTCCTCGTACCCTCCCCTCCAAAACATCCACCACCCGCTAGCCAACACATCCCCATCCATCCCATCCATCCCATCCATCCCATCCATCCCATCCATCCCATCCATCCCATCCATCCCATCCATCCCATCCATCCCATCCATCCCATCCATCCCATCCATCCCATCCATCCCATCCATCCCATCCATCCATCATCTAAGACAAAACCAACTACTCCGTACTATAAGCAAAAAAGAGAAAAAAAATACCATAAGCAAAGAAGAAAAAAAAAAGAAAAAGAAAGAAAAGCATTTCGTCAGTGGGGGTGGGGGGTATACTCATACTCATACTCATTCATACGACAAACAGACAGACATGAAATGACATAACATGGCTCATTCGCTCTCTCTTCCCTTATCGCTCTTCCCTCTTACTTCCTATTCTATTCCCTCCTCCTTCCTCCCATCCAATCTTCCCAACACCACACCACACCAAACCTCACAAAACTAAGTCCACACACAAAACAAACCAAAAAGAAAAGCGAAAAAAAGCGAAAAAAAAGGAACCCGCATTTCTTTTCTTTTTTCTTCTGAATTCATTCATCTCATCATCTCTCTTTCTCAAGCAAGAAAAAAATAAAAAGATAAACAGAAAAAAAAAGACATTAATTTATTTCTGTCCTCCCGAAAAGAACCAAGAACTCCTCTTATTCCCACTCGCCTCGTTCTGCAATCCACTAATCACAGGAATCGGTGCGTTCTCCGCCGCTCCTCCTCCCCTCAGCGGCTTCGCAATCCGGCTTCCCGCGCCCGTGAAGGAGAAATTCCCATTGGCATCTCCGAGTCCGCGTGTGCTACCTGCTTTGGCGGCTTCCAGACGTTCCTTGACGGCTCCGAGTTGGACCTCGAATCTAGAATTGTGTTAGTAGTGACAGAAAGGAAGGTGGAGGGGGGGAGACGTGCCTGTGATTTGCGGCTGTGAGCTTCTCTTGGGAATCTTGGAGTAAGGACTCGAGAGATTGGATACGCTCGTTTCTGGCAATGAGTTTTCGCTCAGCGATGGCAACTTCCTTTTTCAAGCTGCCATTTTGCTCGACCAACTGTCGTTGGACATGAGTCAATTGCTCGAGGTTTCGCTCCAAGAATGCCATCTTCTTTTGCTGAGCTCGGTTGTTGGATGATCGGAGTACGTTGTTGTACTGCTCTCTGGTCTCATCTAATGAGATCTCCAACTCAACCACCCTCTCGCATCTGTTTTGGAGGTCGCGCATCAGACTCTTCTTCATAACATCAAATTCTGCAATTTGTTGTTGCACTGTCTTGCCATTGGGGATTCCAGGTGTCCCATTTGCAACAGCTCCAGTCTTGACTCGTCGTTGCAGGTCTTCGTTGACGGCCTTGAATTTTTGAATTTCGGAAGACTTTTGGGTCAACTCTGCCTTCAGTTCTTGAACAAGCTCGGATGAAGCATCCTGCTTGTTCAAGTAAGCTGCCGCGAGTTTCTCCTTCACCTCAGTAATATCTTCCTCAGTAAGGTTTCTCTCAAGGAGATCAACATAATCTTTCTCAACAGCTTCAAGACGAGCCTCAAGCTCCTCTCTTCGCTTGGCGCTCATTTCATCTGAAGCATTGCCGTAAAGGGATAATTCAGCTTGTCGAACGATTCCTTGTGTCTCTATCAACTTTGATTTGATATCGTTCAACTCTTGTGGTGCGATTGCTTCTCCCGCAGAACTCTGAACATGAAGTGCCTCTACCTGTTCAATAGCCAGCTTTATGGCCTGCTCGTTATCACTGAAAACATCTGCTCCGAGATCGAATCCGGCCATCATCTTGGCCATCTTCTCTGCCTTCTTCTTCTCTTTCTCGTCCAAAACTGCGTTCGTTTCTTTCGCACTCATCTTGACATCTAACAATTGCTGTTTGACCTCATCAAGTTCGGCTGTCAGTTCCGCATTTGCTTCCTTGAGGCCGTCCATTGTGATTTGGGCCTCCTTGTTTTCGAACGTCAAACGTTCAAGTTGCATCTTGGCCTCATTGACCTCACCCGTAAGCTTCTCGTTATCTTTGTTTGTTTTGCCATCATGTTCCTTCAGGTAATTGAGCTCTTCCTTCGTATCTCGTATCGTTTTCTCAACAGCCGCAATTTGCGACTCCTTTTCTGCGATTTGATCTTGTAACTCATTTTCACGCCGTAAGAACTCTTCTCTTTCATCCTTATCTAGAGCAAATGAGGGTGTGGCTGAACGTTCTGATGCACCTGGTGTTTCTGCTCGACTTTCGGGATTTAGCCTTGACGGAGTTGATGGCCTTGGGGGGCCACGAGTACTAGTTTTGGAAGCTGCCGCTACTTCTACCGGAGGAGGTGGAGCCCATTTTTCTTTAGGTACGGCCTCTCCCGCACGCCATTGCTGAACTTCTGCATCCAAAGTTTGAAAATATTGTTCGAAAGTGGTAACTTGGGATCGTGCCTTTTTAAGAAGTGCTTTGAGTTCTGCAGGACTGATTTCGGCATTGACCTTGGCCTTGTTCTTAATTGCTTTCGCTCGCATACCAAATTTCAAGGTACTCAGAGTTTCCGCATCGTTGTAACTACTGGGCGAACAATTGATAATAAGTGTCGTTCGACTGTTCCCTCCCAAACTTTCCTGTAGAATTCTTGTAAGTTTCGAATCTCGATATGGAATATGTTGTGATTTGCCGTCCGTAAGGTTGTTAATGACCATTCCCAAAGCACTCAAACTCTTGTTAATCTTTTTGGCTTCTTCGAGGGTTTGTCCAGTGGCACCGGTCTTTCCCACTTTTTCACTACCAGCCAAATCGACCAAGAAGAGTTGACCGCTTTTCGCTGAGCCGGTTTCGACATTTTTTTGGGTGATGGTAATAACGAATATCGAATGGGATCTCGAAGATTCGGCATTCATATTCGTTGCGGAAACCGCTCTGGAAGACCCACCTCTCCGCATCACCTCATAAACTTCTGCCACACTCGAAACATAAATCTCCAATAAGCCCTTGACATACACCCCTCTGTTCTTTTCCTCATGCACCGGTAGGTTATCGTTTTGCGGCGCCAGTAAATCTCGAATCTTTTCCATGTAAATTTCCATATAACTAACTCGAACGGTGTATTCGATGGTGCCTGGGCTAGCCAGGATGCTGGCAAATATCTGCTCGACGATACGGGGGATGACACCTCTGCCCTCCATGTCGTCAATATCCGTCCCCATCATGGTGTAGGACTTTCCCGCTCCCGTCTGTCCATATGCAAAGACCGTTCCATTGTAACCGTTCAAAATATCGTCCACGGTCGGTTTTATTGAGAAGTCGAATACATCTTCTTGCCGCGAGCTCATATCAAACACACGATCAAAGGTAAAAGAACCAGTCGCCTCCTTGGACTGTGCAGATCGTCAGCATATCTTCGCATACTTCCCTCATCATCCCCGGACGTACGTCTAGTGAGCAGGTGTCTTCGGTCTCGAACTTGACGATCGGCAGGCCGCCCTGCTCGAGTTCAATGCGATTCTGCGGGCGGAACCGCGCCACGACCTTGATACTGTTCGACATGATCGCGAGTCGTCTGCTATCCAGGGACGATCATATGGATGGGGTACAAGCAAAATCCGAGGGGTTGAGATGCGATGTTGTGTCGTGAATGGGTTTTGGGCGCTGTAATGATGGCCTCCGCAATAAGGAGAGGATGTTTACGCGAGTATCATTTCGCGTACCAGCCAATTTGCCTGAACAATGCACAAAAATCACGTTACTCGACAAACACAAGAGGTCTACATGGAGGAGCCTGGCTAGCTGATATCCCTTCGATCGGAAGTCACTTAAGGTTGTTGATTCATCATTATAAACTTTATTACCTTAGCACTGGTTTATACGGATCTTGATGACGCTAAACGCTGCTACTATTGTATGACTGTCGGACAGACCCATCTGCCAGCCGTGAGACTCCCAGAACGCAATAACCGACCCAGATTTGGAAAAACGACCATGGCTGTACAAAATATACCGGAAACGCCAGAACCAGAAAGGTTCATGTAATGCATGTAGACACACTCTCCCCTTCCTGCCGTCAAACATTCCTCATCTCTCTCAGTCGTCCCAGCTCTTCTCCACCGATTCTCGGACTCGTTTAGTATATTCCCGTTTGTTGTCTTTGTAGAGATTCGATGCTTCGACATTAGCCGGCGAGCTGGTGTTGGGATCGTTGAGAAGACTGTTTAAAATGATTAATAGATGCATGTTCGAATGCGTTGTCCTTGTGCATACCTCTGGATGCTGGTCAAGACGGCCGCCACATCGTAGGTGGGACTCCAGCGGTTTTGGAGGATATCTAAACACAACTCTCCCGTGGCATATACGTTTGGATGGAACATCTGACTGATGAACTTGACCGCCGGAGGTTTGTTTGGGTATTGCTCTTCAAAATGCATCACCAGTCGGAATGTGCCATCTTCAAATGGGGTGTCTGCTGGGCCGATGATCACAGCGTTCCTTGAGAAGTGTTAGCACGCAAGAGTGGGAAAGGAGCAGTATTTCTCTCTTACCAGGTCATGACATTATCGGCTACGGGGGAAGCAGAGACTCCAGCAGGAGGATCTGTTTGCATGCGCTTGAAGGATGATCAGTAACGGTATAGAGATCGTGTGCCCCTCTTTGTGGAGGGGAGATTGCCACCAACCTTGAAATCTCGCATGAGACGACGACGTGCTGCGGTAGACATTTTGCAGATTTGGGTTGCGATGTAACAGGGAGACGGGTAACGAGGGGACAGGTCTGTAGTTTTGTAGCGATTGAAGGGTTGTTGTCGTAGGGGCCGGTTGGTGTTTTGCGAGCAAGTAAGGGTGGTGACGGGAACCGTACCGTAGCGCAGTGACTCGGGGGAAGTTGATAACTGATCCAGCTATGCGGCCCGTACGGTCACTAAATAATTCACAAATCCCAGGTGAAATCAATCACAAGTCAATATTTACTTTTGACATTTCTTAGCTTGACACTTCGACAGCTGGTAGTCTCAAAGCAGCCGTTTGACTCGGTAGAGTACCACCAGGTACTTAGTATTCTTTCATTGCTCACGTGGAGATTGCACTGATTCCCGCCTTTTTCCCCGCCTTCCGGTTGTAGCCGCCGCCGCCCCCCCCAAGGTGTTTTCACAAGCCGAGGTGAGAGAGGGAGAGAGAACTTGTTTGAAATCCCTTCATTCTTCATCAACACCTTCCCGTTCGTTAGCTCTGATTAATCTGGAATTAGCAGAAACCTCTCAATCTCATTCACCATGTCTTTTCGTTACGCTATTTCTGCTCGCAATGCTTCTGTACGGTTAAGTCAAGGAAGCCGGCGACATCTAAGTGCAACTGCCTCGGCCAGACAACAGATACAAGATGCATACATCTTGAGTGCTTCTAGAACACCCACAGCAAAGGTATTTTCTACTCAAAAGTTTCTCTCTCTTCCATTTGGACTAATAAATCCAGTTCAATGGCTCTTTTCTCACAGTTTCTGCCCCTCAACTGGGAGCCGTAGCTATCAAATCCGCTCTCGAGAAATCCGGAGTTCCAGCTTCCAAAATCACAGATGTCTACATGGGCAATGTCCTCCAAGCTTCCGTCGGACAAGCTCCAGCACGACAAGCTTCCATGTTCGCTGGCCTCCCAAGTACCATCGAAGCAATAACAATCAACAAAGTATGTGCATCAGGCATGAAAGCCGTAGTCTTTGCCGCACAAAACATCCAGCTTGGTCTTTCGGAAGCCCAGATTGCTGGGGGAATGGAGAGTATGTCACAAACACCATATTATGCCCCACGCAACAGTGGAATGGCTGCTTTGGGGAATGTTACGATCGAGGATGGTCTGATTAAGGATGGTTTGACGGATGTTTATAATAAATTCCATATGGGAGTTTGCGCAGAGACGACGGCAAAGAATCATGGTATTACAAGGGAAATGCAGGATGAATATACCAAACTCTCGTATTCGAGGGCACAAGCGGCCTGGAAAGCCGGGGCATTCAAAGAAGAAATCGCTCCAGTTTCCGTAAAGGGAAGAAAGGGAGACACCATCATATCCGAAGACGAAGGATACATGGATATCAAACCAGAAAGACTTGCCACTTTGAAGCCAGCTTTCGTTCGTGATGGTACTGGGACAGTCACAGCTGCCAACTCTTCGACACTTAACGATGGTGCAAGCGCCCTTGTTTTGGGCAACAAAGCAATTGCTCAAGAATATGGAAGTGGATCTAGAGTTCTTGCTCGAATCTGCGGGAGTGCAGATGCAGCGATTGATCCTGTAGACTTCCCAATTGCTCCAGCAAAGGCAGTACCAATCGCATTGGAAAGAGCCGGTATCAAGGCTGAAGATGTCGCAATCTGGGAATTCAACGAGGCATTTGCTGCTGTCATTAAAGCGAATGAAAAGGTATGTTAGAACCCATTCTCTGTCCCAACACCCACATTATTCTCCTGTTCTTCCACACTCCACCCCTCCCTTCCCCTTCCCCGCTAAATGTATCCCAAAACCAGCATACTAACACAAACCTCAGATCCTCGGTCTAGAAAACGCCAAAGTTAACCCCCTTGGCGGCGCCATCTCCCTCGGTCACGCGCTAGGAAGTTCCGGGTCCCGAATCCTGACCACTCTCCTCCATCAACTGAAGGTCGGGGAGTATGGATGTGCAGCCATCTGTAACGGTGGTGGAGCCGCGACGGCGATTGTGGTGCAGAGGATTGATGGTGTGTGAAGTGTAGGTATGAAGTGTATGATTATTTTAGGACTGAGGAATGAAATAAGAATAAACTTTTGAAAAAAGGAAAGTGAAAGTGATAGTGTTGAGGATAGGTAAGATGTGATGTGATGAGATGAGGTGTGGTGATTTTAACTTGATGATCTGTGTATGGAGGAAGTGATTGTTGGATCCATGTCTGTTTTCCCCCGTCCATACACACATACATAAAGTAATCTAGTCTCGTCCAATCTAGTCCAGTCTCGTCAACCCCCCTCTACCCCCGTGTAGTATAGCCCAGTATAATTTAATATCCTGACTATCTCCTACCTAGGTATGTACCATTTATCTACTCGGTCACGGTGTAAAGGAAGACGCGTGGACGTAATGGGTATTGCGATATAGACTGGAATAGACGGGATTGGACTGCACTGGACTAGTACACTAATAGAATGGATTGGTATGAGGTTGAGAATGAATTGGTATGAGGTTGAGGATGAGGATGAATTGGATGGATGGAGTGATGGACTGTGGGAGGAGTTGGGTTGCTGTAGGTTACTGGTGGTGGGAATGAGGATTGTAAGGTGGGGATGAGGTTGAGGATGAGAGGGCTAGGTAGGTAGGTATAGGTAGGTAGGTAGGTATAGGTAGGTAGGTAGGTAGAGACTTTTATGAAATTACGGTACTCGGTAAGATTACCGAGTACCGAGTATGCTTTCCGTACTACTCGAGTACAACAAGACAATGGTGACAAAAAAAAAGGGTATGTATGTATTATATGTCCAGGGACTGGCAGAGAATTCTTGTTACAAAAAAGGGAATGGGGAATGGTCTCTCGGTCAATATCTACTACTATTATGATGCTGATTTCTTCTGCTGTTGCTGCTCCCATATGCGTGTTACCAGAGTTTGTGGTTGTACTTGTACACCCCAAGAAAAGACACCGACCAGCTCGTTGATGAGACCCCGTAACGCCTTGACTTGAATGCTCACTTCTCTCTTGCCTCACAATCTGGGATCCTGTTTCTCTTCCGTCTTCACATCCCATTACAGCAATTGGCTAAGTCATCGCCATCGCCCTCCATCTCCTTGCCAAGACATCCTATCCAAGGCCTTGCTATCCCAATACCGAACAACCCCCCTAAAACAAAATATCCAAACAACAACAACACGCCAAACTCGCCAAACACACCTCCAAAAACCCCGGGCCCCTCTTCCGCCCCCGCTCATCAACATACTGCCCCTGAGGCTGCCCATGAGGATAATACCCCGGCTGCGCATACCCATTCCCATACTGCGGCTGCCCCCCAGGATAGAAGCCCGGTTGCTGTCCATAGCCCATCTGAGGCTGGCCGTAGTAGCCTTGTTGTTGGCCTCCATATGGTTGGTTTGGGTCCTGTGGTCCGGGTTGGAAGTAGCCGTTTTGGGGTCCGTAGTTTCCTTGCGGTGGGTAGCCTGAGTGTTGGGGTGCGAGACCGGCGTGGAGGGGCGCTGGGGAGGCGTTGTAGTAGTCGGATTGGGTGC